AAAAATACTATTTCTTTTGTTTTTTTACCAATGCACGTATTAGTAATGAAAATAAATGTAAAGTGAGCACTGTACACTTTGTATTCTGTGTTGTAACTGAAATCAATATATTTGAAAATGTAGAAAACATCCAAAAATATTTAAATAAATGGTATTCTATTACTGTTTAAAAGTGCAATTAATCCTGATTACTTTTTTTAATCGCTTGACAGCCCATAGTAACTACTCACAATCTGGTCCTCTGAAAACAGAGCAATTGCATTTTAAAGATTATGGCACCTACTGGTTTAATGATTTTTTTTTACCACAGAAATGCCTGCCCTCTAAAAGTGCTTTTTGTTGCTAAAGTAGACCAACCACTCCATTATTACTCTATCTTACTCTTCCTTAGAAGTTACGGGTGCACTCTGCTACCCCACTCTGCTGGCGCATGCTCCTTGTGACAAAACTCAGGCTAGAGCCTGATAAAGAGAGCATATGTGGCAGTATGTTTAAAAGTCCACTTCCAAATATGCCTTTCTGTGCCGGAAAAAAAAAAAAAAAAGTTACAATGAGTTCCTGCACTGAGCTCACCACTCTTTTGGACTACTTCGCAGTGTGAGGGAAAGACTATACAACCCCACTCATTCAAATTGCATTGTGGTTTGAGGCTTATTTTTTCAGTAGCAATATTTTTCCTGAATTTAACGTTAGTTTTCTGAGTGGGGGTTAACTAGCCAAACCCACAGACTAAACGGATGGTTTTAGCTCCCATGGTGATTCTGTTCCCAGGTTTAAATGTCAAAATTAGATTACTGTTTTATATGTAAAAAGGAAAAACTGGTTTAAGACTATCCCTTTTAAAAGAGAAAAACATTTTATGGCAAAAAAGACATTTTATAGAAGACTATTCTGCTGTGGTGGGATTTATAAATACACAACCTTTCTACCACCACTGCAGCCTAAATACTTTATGAAGCAATCAAATCCAAGCTGAAACTATAGTGAACTGCATTTTAGAAAGTGAATAATTAATAATAATCACTATTTGTTCTAGAGAGGGTACCAAGGTACAAAGTGTAGATCAGATCCAACCTTCTCCTAACTTCGGGGGTTTCAGCCCCAGGATTTTGATTTTGCCCAAACAGCTGTGAAGGGTGAGGAGAGTCAAAGGTGGCTGGAAGCAATTGCTATACCCCTCTAATCCTAAAGGAAGTGGGGTGATGTGGTGCAGACACCCAGAGATTCTCCAATGGGGGAGGAATCCTCAGTTACCTGGTCAAGATGGTTTTTCAGGGTCTTTGTGGTGCCAAATAAAGAGAGCAAAGAGACTGGAGCAGAAGCCAGGATCTGGCTCAACAGCTACCTACAAAGTTTGCATATGGAGCTTAGCTGTATTATGATCCCTGGTTTTGGTTTGGTCCCACCTCGCATTTGCCCATTAGTTAAGGAAAGTGTGCTACAGGTCTCAAAAAATTCAGCTTCTAACAGGTTTATGTATATCATTGCAAATTCAACTGCAACTATTCTATTTAACAAGACCGTTTAACAGTGCAGAGAGGGGTCATGCAATTGGTTAAGAAGCCTCGCTAAAAAGACAAGGAGAGGTCAAATTGGAAAGAATGGGAATTTTTAATATGAATAGAAGGGAAAGAAAGAGTGAAATGTGTATGATAATAGACAGTACTGTAAAGTGAGAAGTGTGTTTGCATTATTCCTTTCTGATTGGCTAAAAGCAAATAGCCCAGCTGGAATCTGCAGTGTCCCTCTTCTGTACTGTTATCCCTGGCTTCATCCAGTGTGATGAAGATGTGGGGGGTGAAGCTTTGAGTCACAAATCCAACGTTTCATTTCTCCTCTCCTAACCCATAAGCAACTGGGGCGAGGAGTTCTGAGACTAATTAATATCTGTAAAACACTTTCAGGTTCTTACACAGGATGCAATATAAGCACAGATCATTACTAATGAACAGCACTAGTCTTTGAGAGACGGCAGAAGTAGAAACTGCCACAAATCTACGTTCAGCTATAAAGGAAAAACCAGAATCCAGCAAATAATTTAACTAAATTCTCGCCAACATTTTTGCTTTCGTTTGCTGTGTTTTTCATAGTATCATAATGACAAAGCCTGGGTTGTTTATCAGTATTTTCTTCTCTCATAGCAAGAAACCAGGCTCTGTCATTAGGATACAGTGTAAAATACAGCAAACAAAAGCAAAAATATTTTTTCTGAAGAGGCTGTAGCTTTCCAAAACCAACATAAAGTGTAATTTGTTTGGTGTATAACAAACAGTTGATTTGATTTCTTCACTCTGTGTCTGTCTTATTTCTCTTTGTATCTAATTTTACAGGAATCTGTTTAGTTTTATCTTGTACAAATGCAAGCAGACTTCTGCACAACCCATTTTAATTGGCTTTATCAAACAAGATCATGGTCACGCAAATTTTAAGAGATTTTGTTCAGCGAACATCTGCAAACACTAGACAGAGCTATAGTATAACATTTCAGTGGACTTTCTTCTTTTGCTTTTATGTCAAAAATTTTCATCCAGACGGTTTTGTTTTTTAAGTCAAAATAACAATCTGTATAAACAATTCAACTCTACTGAGCCTTAAAAGTTAGCTTTTAAAACCAGAGATATGCACTACAATCATATCTGAGAGTGACTGTTCTTATACTGTTTCATATGGGGGGGGGAGATCGGGGGAGGGGATAGTATAGGAAACTGAGAACCCCAATGGCTTCCCATGAAAATGGAAGTGTGTGGGGTAGGAAAGGGAAGGAAGAATGAATATCTAAGAGCACATAGTTCATGTAATATATGAGTTATAGATATACACACTTCAATATATTTTACATATAATGCACACAGGTATTGTATAACCTGCTATCGAGAAGTAGGGCCAGATCCTGGTCTCCGATTCCATACTGGCATCTCTCCAGCATTGCAAAGGGGTAGACAGCTGTCCTAACGAGGTAGCTTAGCATTCTCCTTAAGTCAGGAGAATCCTGGGATGGCATAAAACTGGCAAAGCTAGCTCTGCCCCATCTGCTCCCACCTCTGTGTATGTGGGGTGTTCCAGGGCCAGCCAGGGTAATAAGTCTGAGGGGGCACTGTGGCCCCCCGCATGGGAGAACGATGCTGGGGACAAGTGGAGAAAAGGAAGAAGTGTGTGAGCTGGTGGCAGGAAGAGAAGGGTTGAAATAGTCACAGGAGAGTGTTTCAGGCAGGCTTGGCTCTTGGCCCCCCAGGATTGTGTGCGTTCGGTGACAGGCACATTACATTCTGTGCCTTTTTCCTCACATATTCTAAGAAGGCATCACCTACAATTTACCAGAACGTACCCAAAGCTCCCTAGCCACAGCGGGACAACTCTGACCCCTAGAGACATCAAGCAGGTGACACAGACATATTTCTACCCAGCTTTATGCATTTGAGACTTCCCATGCTAGAACAGTTCTGGGTCCCCTGGTGTCACTGCAGAGGAGCAAAGACGTGGCATCAAAGATGTGTCATCATTGCGCTCTCTTGTGTTTGCAATGGCCCCAGATACAGCTTACTGAAAAAAGAATATCCAGGAGAACAGGTTTTGGGAAGGATTGGCAATGACGCAATTAAGCTCTGGAGGAGGCAGCGGGACTGCGGCCACACTATGGAAATGACGTAGCTTAGTCAGAAGTATGGGTTTCTTTAAACGTATAACCCAAGATTCTACTCAGTCGCACTGGTGTAAAGAACTCAGAAACCTGGCTCCTAGAGCTCAGAAAGCCACCACAGATAGACTGGGATCATTTTTTCTAGCTTTTGTTCTTAAACCAGCTTTTAGTAATTCCATATTTACATTCAAGAAAATTGTTTGATTTCAACATACATAGAGTCCACATTACAGAAATGGTCTCTTTGGGTCTGCACCCATAACTATATGGTCTAATAACAAGTAGAAATACACGGGAGAGAGGGTAAGCAAATATATTGCATTACATTGATTTCTTCCATCAATAGTTACTTAAAGCAGGGGGCAAAAAACAAATGCCCTCTTTCAAAGAAGAGGATTTAGACCACATGCTACCCAAGGCAAGTTTCCTTAAGCATGTACAAGTTTTCATGGGTTTTGATTATATTTTGTTTCACTTTGAAATCAGAAATGTTGGCCCCATCTATATAAGGGCTTGTATCCCTGCTGGGGTAATCTGCTCTATGGGGTGTGATTTCTAAACCGCACGAATGGGTTGCGCATTACCTGGTCGGTGTAGATCCTGCCGGTGCGCCTTAATGTTGTGCTATTTGAAACAGAACTCCACTAAAGTGCACTAGGGAACCTTAAGAGTATGTCTATGCTGCAGCTAAGAACGAGCCTCCCAGGCCCAGGAGATGGACTCAGGCAAGCAGGGTTCAAGCTAGCATGCTAAAAATAGCAGTATGGACGTTGCAGCTCTTAAGCCCACCTGACCTCCTACCCTTGAGCCGAAGCTTCAGGCTGAGTTGCAATGGCCACACTGCTATTTTTTGTGTATGCGGACAAATTAATTTGCAACACACTAGTGTACTTTAGAAATCATCCCCCCCATAGAGCATATTACCCCACCATGTAGAGAAGCTCTTAATCTTTAATGTGAATTAGGGAATGGTGTTTAAAATTGGTTTCAACAAGACTCCAGTGAAGTGATTGCTAATATGGTTTGGTTTTGTTAGAGCTATGCATTTAAAAAGTTGTGTAATGTAGATACTTCCTAAGCCATGATTCTAAGATGGCTTGGTTCTGTCCACAACAGCCACTCAGAGTGTTTTACAAACTGGTTTTGCTGGAACTATGTTTAAATTCATTTCTCTATTTCAGTAAAAAGATGGGAACAAATGGGGCTTATATCATAATATCAGTTCTTTCACCCTAGAAAACCTCCCACAGGGTCCTGCTGAACTCTTTTAGCAAGATTTCCATGTCCTTTATTTATTAGCACATAGACATTTTACATAATACAAGCTTTTTAAAATGAAAAACACCATCTGATGTAGACTCACCATCTTGTGTGTTTTGACTGAGGATCTGAGTGCGGAGCTCCTCAAGGCTAATTCCCAGGCATGTACAAATTTCCTCTACGCTGTAAGGCTCCGGGTGAAATACCTCCTCAACAATGGTCAGCATTTCCTTCAGGCTAACTCCTAGCTTGGCCTGCACATCTTGGAGCTTCAGCATTTTTTTCCATTCTAGGCCTTTTGACTTCGAGAGAAGCTATAATGTGAAAAACAGACAATACTACACTGTAGTTTGAAATTGACAAGAAATATTTCATAAAGCAAACAGATCTTAAAACTGATTTTTTTCCTCCCCAGCAAAAGCCATCTATCCTTACACAGCAACTAGCTGTAGCCAGGTGGCTACCCCGCTCCTAAAACAGAAGGGGTTAAAAGCAGCCCTGGAGAGGGCTGTGGCTGGCTGATTGGGGAAGCAGCCGCAGCTGGGCCACACCCCAGTCAGACCCCTGCTGGCCTGTATAAAAAGGCTGTGAGCCAGTGACCTAAGGAGTTTCTCTCCAGGCTAGGAGAGAGCAGGGCCTGGCTACCTACCTGGGGGGGGGGGGGGGGGGGGGGGGGGGGGGGGGGGGGGGGGGGGGGGGGGGCGGTGCCGGTGCGGTGCGGTGCGGGGGAAGGAGTAGGCTGAGTGGGGGTGCTTGAAGCTGACATCTTCCCTAGGCTGTAGGGCCTGGTCCAAAGGCCCATAGAGCTACTGGAAGGCTGCAGATCTGAACCCCCTTGCTTATGATGAGTGGCCTTTACACTGCAGTCTGCCTCAGGGAGTGGGGGCTTGGTGATGACTGGCAATAGCCCAGACTGAGGCAAGGTGGGGATAGTGGGTTGGGGGTTCCCCAGGAAGGGGAGACCCAGAGGCAGAGTGTCGAGGTACTGTCAGGGGGCAGAACCCTAGCGAAAGGGGCACCAGGGTCTGTGAGGGACACGGGGGGGCCAGAGCTGTGCCAATCACTGGCCTGCAGGGGATACTCCAGGCTGGAAAAGAGCTAATTCCCAATGACCAGCAGGAGGTGCCACAAGGGTGAGTCCAGCTCTTTTACACTAGCCAATATGTTCATACACCAATGTAGTTCCAGAACAGGAAGATTTCTGTCAATCACAGCACAAAAAAATTAAGCATTTATTTTCTTAAAACACTAGTCTAAAACACTTATTGACATTGCATATGTCCAGTCAAATCAATGATCCTTCCTTTTCTACATAGACTACCTCCTCCAACTATTATTCACTTGATAAAGGTAACTTCAGGCATTTGTTTGTACACATTCCCCAGCACAGTAGCACTGGAAAATCCCAGAAAGACTTACTATGTTATTTGTCTTTGATCTAATATTGACAGCTCAGCCTGACTGGTGGTATTTAATGAATCCAAGTATCTGAGGCTGTTATAATCCTAACTTTCTTAGAAGAGCCTTGGAGGAGAAATGAATGGCATGCTAAGGTTGGTGCTGGACCCTTAAATGCAAGCTTGCTAGTGTATCATATTTTTTTTATAATTACAACATTCTATTAATATTCATTTTAAAAGGGAGCCTCAGTCCTACCTGAACAATGCAGATTTTTCTTGAGGCATTTAAACGGGAGTTTGTCATATTAAACTGAGAATGTGTTCTGCTCTCAAGTGTGCTGATTGAGTGGGGCCAGGATTTTCCCCATCAGGGTCTCTTCTTTTCAATAAATATTGGTTTTAAGTTTGTTTGAAACCATTAAGGTCTCAATTCAGCAAATCCTCTCTTCAGCAAAACACTTCAGTGGGGCTAACTTTCAGGTTTGCGGGACTTAAGCACATGCTGAAAGTTAAGTATTTGCATTGTGTAATTGAGGCCTCTAGGAGAGCTGTGACTTTTCCAAGAACTGGTGGATACTTTTTCCTCACACAGATTTGTTATAGCAGGATACTGCTGGTTTGCACCATGACTGAGCTGCTGCCCAGCTACTCGCTGCAGCTTCTCAATGTCCTGCTTCTCCTCAAGCATTATTGTACACAGGCCTTTTCAGTTTTTGCTTTATTGCAGTCTACAAAAATTAACTACTTTTGGTGCCCCCTACTGCCTTTCCAAAGTTGATGTGGCGCATACTAGAGCAGGAAAACAGACCACATGACTCTGAAGTCATTTAAAATACAGACATGTACGTTCACAGACACAGAAAGGAGTGGCCCTGTCTAGTACCTAAAGCAGGGGCCTGAGAGTAAGGCAATGTCCGGGCTCTGGCACTGTTTTTGAGATGCTGGAGAAATCACCTTTGGCCTAGTTTCAAAGATGCTGAGCACCCAGAGCTCCACAACATTAATCTGCCTGTATCTCAGTTTCCTCACCTATAAAATGGGGGTGTTATGGGACATACAAAGTCTGCACTAGACAGGAAGGGGTTAAGGAGCACCGCTGGACTCAGGCAGCCCCACCCCATCACGCCTGTGAAGTATGGTAGACTTGGAGGAGGAGCTTCAAAAGGGAGCAGCCCAGCTCACAGGGAGGTAGACAGACCTCTCATCTCTTCTCCCAGAGAGAAGCAAAGCAGCGAGCCTAGCTTTCCTATGAGCGTGGAGCATCAGTACAGTTGGTTGGAGGGCCCTTGTGGACAGGGGGTTGAGTACTGCTCTTTATTTCCTTTAGTTTTGTTTTCTTTCCTTTGTCATGTTGGGAGCTGGCCCCAGGGCAGTCCCTGCTGAGCATGTGAGCCTTTTGAGGAGAAGGTGGTCTGATGTAGGAGGTATCTTAGGAGAGAAGGAAGAGGCCTGACAAGGCAAAACCCAGGGTAGAGAGAAGGACTGGGCTGTCTTACTGAGGAGGCTAGCATGAGGAGACCCCAAGCACAAAGGCTGGAAGGACTAGTGGCCTGACCCTGGCCTGATGATTTGAAGTTGTGGGACTGCTGAGTTACCGTCTGGTTTACTGGCCTCAATGGATGAGGCTAAACGTGATCCAGCTGGAAGTCCAAATCACAAGATGAATGGCCGGTCAGCAGAGAAACAGAGAGAAAAATCCTACAATGCTACATTCAGCCAGAAGGCAGGGTGCCAGCCGGTGAGTCACTGTTGCAGTGGGTAATGTTTTCTTCACATATTTAACTTTTTTTTAATTTTCATCTTTCATATCTTGAATAGTTGTCTGTAAAAGTGATTTGAGATCTTCAGCTTAATGGTACTGAAGGAATGTAAAGAATTATATTACACTAATGAACAGCATCTTGTAGCCCTCATTACTTGAAATTAAACAGGTGTAATCACTTAAAAAAACCAACACAATGCTTTCTATTATCTGAATAAATAATGCACTATATTTTATGCCACTGGCACATTACCACATCCTTCCCAATTCCTTGAAGAGAGAGGCTGCATTTGAAATGAGCTTGCTATTTAGATACTCTACAGACTAAACATACTGAAAAGAAACTGATCACTGCAAAACATTAGCAGCTGGTATTTTTGTGATCATTCTAAACTTAGCACAACACAGTTTCTGACCTTTTTTAAAAGAAAAAATCCCACCCCATTAACTCAAAATACAATGGACACCAGACCCAAAAAAGAAATAGGGGAAAATCCATCTATTGAATTTACAAGAATACTGACCCCATAGTTTGGTGTTTCCTGACAGTTACTGATCAGATGGAATAAGGACGTGAGGCATCCTCAAGCTACTTCTTAACTGCCAGGATACACCCTCTTCTTCTGGCCCTTATTGCTTAATACTACAGTCTCACTGGAACACTATAAATGTATGGCCATCTGTCGTATCTGATGATGACATCACAACATCTTGGTGGTGGGTTTTTTTTTCCCCTGTAGCTGTATGATCCAGTCTGTAAGGCGTGAGGTCACCAACACATGTCCTACAGAAATGTGTAGGCACCCACTGAAGACTTGGCATGACGCTTGGCCCTTTTTCAATCACTTTTTCACATCTGTGTTTTCTCAAACTGTTTACAACATTTATTGATAGTTGCTCTACATTCGGGTCTGTCCTTGGCTCTGTCTTCAAAGTGATCAATATTTATGCCGCATGAGTTGAGATTCTGCTTAAGGGTCTTTGAAGTGTCTTCAGTGGCCGCCTTTCCTGCTCTTTCCAAGTTTCATCTATCACTACCCACTCCAATAACATGACCTATCGATTTCTAAGATTACACTATAAGTAAATGTGAAAAAGTATATCCCAGTCAATGATGGGACAAATATAAACAATGATTCATAGTGAGTATTGGTATACTTAGCCTTACATCATAATAATACTATCCTAGTACTTTGCAGTCCTATAGTAACATCTGAGGGTCTTTCAGTACTTCACAAACATTAACTGATTAAACTTTACAGCACCCATTCAGGTAGATAGGTAAGTAGGCATTATTAACCCCATTTTATAGATAGAGTAACCTGAAGTATAGTACAAAGGAGTAGAGACCTACATTTTTGCTAACAGTGGGTATCCAAAGCTTATTCTCCAGCAAAACTCCTGCCCAGAATAAGGAAACAAAACTGAGTCACCCACAAAGAGTGGTTCCCAAGCATAGCAGCTGCTGAGCCCAGTGCAGGGAAGTAGGGGAGATCCCAGGCATCACCACTAAGCCCTGCAAAGTCATTCCTGCTGCAGTTGCTGGCCCCACCAAGCCTGCACCACATTCAGCCCCTGTCTTCCAGTCTGGCCCACGCAGGTGCAATGTCATTCCCCATCCCTGAACTTCCTGTAGCCAAAGAGCATGCCTAGGAGCACCTGATGAAGCTCCAGGGATGCTTCAGAGGAAGGAGCAAGCAATATTGCTCTGCCCCTACCAATGGTACGCAATGGTCATACAGCTGCGAAGTTATTGTTCAGAGGTGTTTACCAACCATTGACTTCAGTTGGAGTTGTGATTATGCTCAGCTTCTCTGAAAGTCAGGCCCTAGCTGTCCCGAACAGGGCACTCATTACTGGATTACTAGGTTAACACTAGAAGTCTGAAAATCTCTCCCATTTTTCAGGAATGTCTGAAACAGAAATTCAGTATCTGGCAATTTGATTAAATTTTTTTTTTATGATAAAGTCAACCGTTCAATTAAACATGGTTCTGTTGTCTTCTGTTTGTTGGAGGTAGGTGTTTGACCTCCATTGTACACAAAAGAATAAGAGTCAAATGATGTCCTGGCCAAACATAACCTATTGCAGGGCACCATGAGACTGTATTAAATAGGCTCTGGGCTGAAGACTATGGTAGACAATTTTGCTCCTCTGGCACAATTGAACTCCTACAATAATGATAAAGATCATGTGTCCAGGAGATAAAACTTTCTCGTGGGCTGGCCCAAAACTTTGTGGAATGAACTCCCACAGAAATTAAGCACCATCACAAACCTCACCCACCATATGCTCTAAATACAAGATGCATTTCTTTGGCCTTGCCTTCTCTAACCAACATAGCTCTATGGAGGGGTTTACATACACACACGTAGATATTTATTTCTATTTTATATAAAATCCAAGCCAAAACACTCTACTGCACACACCTTTCCCTTTGGAGAGAGGATGAGTGAATAAACGTGACAGATTTTCGTCATGTTGCTTAATGTACTCCTGGAAAGCATCCAGGGACTATGGTGGTGAGCACAGTATAAAAATCTGAATAGAAAGGAAATGAATGAATGCTGGAGAAAGGAGAAGGAAAGACAGCATGTACAGAGTGGTAATCAAGGATTCATTATATCCTCTGCCAACCAAAGCAATTAGGAATATGTTATGCTGGTATTTCTGCCCATGTGTAAATGTCTGCAAGGGGAAGAGTAAGGAAAATGAGATAAGAGCTACAGGAATGAAGGACAAATACTACCATCAAGACATCCATCAATAAGAATGACCTAAAAAGCTGTGTTGTGAGGCTTAAGATGTTGTTTCATACATCTGTTAGCTTATTAGTTCTGCTGTGTTAATAGTACCTAAAAGACAACCCTCCCTCCCCTCATCTGCCCACCTTCACCCCTCTATGACCTGTTCCTAAAGAAAACAGGTTTTTTCTGTCTCAACAAATTTTTTATTGTGCATGCAACTATCCATCTTGGCAACATGTGCTTAAAAGTGGGCAGATGTAAATTGTTAGTTTCCTTAAAATTGCACAGCTGTGAAACGTACTTTTTCAGGGATTGTGTCATCTCTAACAGGTGGTGTAACATCCATCTTTCCCTCCCTCCCTCTGCAGTTTACAACACAGAGCAACTAATCAAAGTAATTTTAAAAGCTGGTGCAGTTCACCTACCCTGCTTTATGAAACAACCCTTAAGAAGGTCTTACAAATGGTCTGTTAAAATAGAGTATAAAGATTCCTGGACTTTTATTTGCATTAGCTGCCAAAAGAAATGAGGACTACCCAAGTTAGTTGAGCTGTTGTTTACCCCAAGTACAAGGTTTGTCATTCCTGCCAGGAGCCATTCACAGAGAGGTCCTAACCCTGGTTGCACTGAAGTCCATGAGAATCAATGGCAAAAGAAATTGGCCATGACCACTGGCATTATTACGTATCTCTTAAATACACACACACACAACATGGTATTTTCCAACTACAACCTTAGTATGCTTTCCACTATTGACCCATATAGGACACTTAAAAAGTTTCAGTGAGCATTAGATTCTCTTTTGAAAAGTTATGCCAAAAGCCATAATATGGTGCATGTTCACTCAGGTTCAGTGGGCTCCTTTTCTCTTACAACTTGCAGAGGGATGAGTATGAGGTTTTATATCCCTTCCAAAACTCTTTTTCAGCATTAACTGTTACAACTCTGGCTATCCTATGAATGTCCCATCCCCTCTTTAAATCTCGCTTAGTTGTTGGCCTCACAACATTCAGTGGCAATGAGTTCCACAACGTAGTTATGTAAACTCTCAGCTGAATTCTCTGATCCAAATTTTACTCACTTATAACATGTAAACTGGGAGTATGTCCTTTGAATCAGCTGGGCTACTCCACACTTATGCCAGTGTAACTGAGAAAAGAATAGTCCCTTTTATTTTTATAACCAACTGAATCCAAATTTCAAATCTGAATGTTCCCAAACACTTGGGTTTTTCAATCCTGATCTAAATTTGAACTTTCCCAAGGCTTGGAGTGCTTCAGATTCAACCTATTTTAGAGATTGGTTCAACCTGTGAATTGGCATCCCAGTCCACATCCAACTCTGCAGTTTTGGTTCAGGCCCATCTCTAAACTCAATATAAGTATCTATTTCTAATCAACACTTCCAATAGCATTTGAATGTTTCTACATTATATCCTTGGCTATTACTTTCTGCTTATCCCAGTAAATACACATCTATTCGTGTACACACATAACTACCGTTTGAATACACTTGTTTTTCTCCACTGGCTTTTCATTATCAAGGTTTAATTAGAAGCCCTCTACTTGCATTAACTGAAAATATTTTTGCTGAAAAGGAATTAATTTGTTCTCTCCATCCATGCCTAATAACCAATAAACTCAATAGTGCTAAACCACAGACCCTACAACAAACAATAAGGGTCTGATCCCAGACATTTCACACTTCCATTGAACTCCGTGGGAGTTTGCCTTGCAACAGGGTAGAAGGGTCTGGCCCTGAGAAGATAAAAATGTCAGTTAAAGCAGCACCTGACCTGGTGTTAAAGTAAAGCTGTGACTGGTCAGGGGTGGAGGAAAGCACATACTTGGATGAAGGTTTCATTAGAGTTTGACAAAAGCCATACAGTACCTTTGTAGCCAGACGACACTCCATCACCCTAATATTGTAATGAGAAGTTGCTGCTTTATTCATTTCGACACAACTGTTAGCAATAACAAAAGCTGCTCCACTTGGAAGTCTCACATCAGTTGCCCTCAGAGGACTGAACTCTATCAGCTTAGCCTATTAAAAGAAAAATGAATGGTCAGTTTAAATTTACTAGCAACCAGCAACAGAGTTAGCTCAATAAATCACATGCATTTACCTTTGCAAATTTTTTTTTCCTCTCAAGAACCCACAGATGGTTAATCAAGGAAATTGACATGAAACAGTGAGAAAAGCTATTTAGCCCCAATGGTCAAGTTACAAGAAAACCTGAAGCCTCTTCCTGGGAGCTGGAATTTATGGCTTCTCCATTAAATGTCCTTGTGTTTTCAGAGTTTCACAGAACCTATTTGTAGGCAACACTTTTCAAAATAACTTTCTTTTAAGAAGAAGATACCAGATGGCATTTGGGGAAACTGAAATCCAGCTGGGGTGGGAGTGGCAACGAGGGCATAGGGAGAACTGAACCCTAAATATGAGAGTTGGGCCTAAACAAAGCCTTATGCCTGAACACCCCACCCCCACCTTTCCAGGGTGTTCTAAGTCTTGATCCAGGTCTAGCCCCAATAACTACAGAGTAGATATTTAATCAGTGGGCTACATTTCAATAAAACATCCAGACTGCTCTACTGGAGGGAGCCTGCAATGCCAATCAAATGGCTAGAAAAAAATGAGCAGCCAGCCTTTTGATATAGCACATTCAGGCTCCCTCCATTACAGCCCACAAGGTCCCCCTGTGCCACCCTCTCATCCCCCGCTAGTTCAGGGACTTCCTGCAACACTCCACATCCCTCCTACCAGGGGCACTGTGTGTACCCCATTCCCCTCTGCTCCCATACCAGGGTCCCCCAGTCTCCCCCTCCATGCCCGGTGTTCTGTGTGCACCCCAATTCATCCTCCCACCATGCCAGGGGATCTGTGTTCCCTTGTGACTGTTTCTGTTTTAGCCTACCAGTGTTTCAAAATCCCTTTCTTACAGGATACAGATGCTAGTGCTTCCAGACCAGGGGTGGAGGGCACTAATGACGTAAAGACCCCATGGCTAGGTATCTGGGAGAGGGAGTCACAGCCCAACTGTCACCAAAAGCAGTAGGGTTCTGCCCACTGATGCCTAGAATAGTCCGTGAAATTTTGGAACTGATTGGCTATGGGTTAAAAAGTTATTGCCTTACAGACAAACAGAGAAATGCCAGCGAATAGGGTGTAGGGCCTTGTTTCACTCAGCCAATTATTGCCTCACTTTCTCCGGCAACAGAACTGGAATAAAATATTTCCCTGCCTCATAGGCTTGGTGTGGTATAACATGGGTACAGCATTTTGTGCCCTTTGGGTGAACTGGGCTATAAATCCCAGTAACTAAAACCTTCAGGCTGTGATGTCATGAAGAGATGAAATGCACACCTAGATCTTATCTTCATTGGGGTAGGTTGTATATTGCATACCTTGCCAGGGATCCACTTAGAGCAGACTGCAGCTCTATAGAGCAGGGATTTTGGTGCTCTTCATTTCCTGCATGGTTCCATGAACAGCTACAGTGCTAAACAAACAGGTGGCCACATGCCAACCTGCTTCCAAGCCATGTATCCAAGCCATTGTTGTATTAACCCAGTGGGGTTATGGATAGGGTGACCAGACAGCAAATGTGAAAAATCGGGACAGGGGCTGGGAGGGTCATAGCCTATATAAGAAAAAGACCCCAAAATTGGGACTGTCCCTATAAAACTGGGACATCTGGTCACCCTAGTTATGGATTATTTTGCAAATATCAAGGGAGAGACTTACTTCCCTTTAAAAGTCCTCTCACTCTGTGTACGTACCCATTACTGTGCTCACCACTTTGAGTAAGAAACCCTTACCACTTCTGAGCCATATAAAACATTTCCACTTAGACAAAGTCAAGGTGACTGTATGTCAAGAAAATTTGTAACTTCTTTCAGCACTGGTGCAGCTGCACAGGTGCTACCAAAAGTAGAAGCTGTCGTGTAGACTGGATGGAGACCCAGAAAAGTGGCAATGTTTGGGCGTTCAGAATGCACTCATTGTGGACTTGAGAATATTCAGTGTATTCAAAGGATGAGCACATTTTCCATATAAGTGGCAAGTACAAGAAAACGCTATGATATGGAGCTAAACCCCTATTACACATGCTGTGGAGAGATGAAGTCACAAGTAAAATGGTAAGCATTTTACAACAGATGGCCAATGTACAGGTTTCTCATGAATGGCTGCACTCATTTCCCAATAAACATATTTTTGTGAGTTTTAGGTTTGACCGCCCAAAGCCACACACACCTTTTTAGATAATAGGCAGATCCCACTGTAAATGGTATTTTTGCAGCACTTGTGAATCGCTCAGCAGGTCGTGTATAGCAGTGCCCATTCATCGGTTTCTCACGTTTGATTCAGGTGTTGAAGGTATCTTTCTTAAACACTGACATTTTATGAAATTAACGTCTGAACATTTTTTATAATTCCCCATTGTAGCTATGAGCGAATCTGGCAGCTTTACTAGAATGGGTCTGTCACTAGAAGTTCCAATAATGAATTCTTGTGATAGGGAATACCAGCCATTTAGACTTCATAATGTAGGAATTACGCCACTGAACCTGGAGTATCAGCTGACCAACATGGAGTCTATTACTCCTTTTTTTCATATCTCTTCCTCTCCCATATAGCCTTTCTGTTCTCTTTTCATCTCACTCTCATCTTCTTAGTCCTACAAGCCTCTCATGTTCTGAATAGTGGTACCTCTTATACAATGAAGCTCATATATACTCACATCTTCATTTGTGCATAATCCGTGACTGTTTTGCCCAGGTTATCTGTTTCCTGTATCTTTAATATTTACAGTTGTAATGTGTTGTTAGTTTACATTAAAAGAGCTACCTACGTACAGTTCCTTCTTCTGCTAGGAATGATATGGACTGGTCCATGCCTCCTCCCTCCGTGCCAACGTACCGTTCGGTCTTGGTGCAAATTTCTGCAAGTTCCACCTAAGGAAACGTTGGAAGTAAAGCTTGAGTCAAGATAAAGGATGCATCACATACAGTGACCGACTGAGGAGGACAGTAAGATACCTCTGAGATCACCCTTCCCCACACATTCCTTATCAATAGACTGTGCTTTGGATGCCATGCAAGTCTGACCCATTCTCACTGTAAAATGGTATCATCATATAGTCTTTCTCCTTTTGCTCTGAACCATGCCACAATCTCTCTGACTCCACTGTAGAGGATGGCACTGGACATTTATCAGAGTCTCCATTCTAGCACCAGTCCTCCTTCCATTTCCTCCCCCATCCCATTTCCACACCTCTGTCTGAAATTGTGCTGCAATACTGACGGAATACAAAGTATGCTCCCTGGTAATTTACGTAATCCAGATAATTCACCTTACTATTTGTAATGTGTCGGTTTCATAACTAGAAATTACCGATTGAAGCTGAACTCATGAGATTTATTACTTTTGCATTTTCAAGAACACTCACAGAGTTTTCCCTAATTAGGGACCTGATCCTCCAGTGCTCCCGTGGGCAAAATTCCCAATAACATCGATGGGACTTTAGCCTTAGTAAAGAATGCATGATCAGGTCCCCACAATAAATCATCTAGGGTCTGGCTCTGACATTCTTACCCTGAGACTGCCTTATCTGACAAGTAGCATCACTGCCCATCTCAGAGGCACAGTTCCTTCTAAGCGCTGCCCTATGCACAGGGCAGCTGGCAATGCCACAGTCTAGTCCTTCGAAATGTATGATGATCTCATTTTACAAACCAAAAATGAACAAACGGTTAAAGGGCCAAATTCTGCCCTTTGATGTGTGTGTGGCTCCCAGTGAAGTCAATGGGAGCACTATGTGTGCATCCAATCCCAGATATCAGCCCAGTGTGTTTTGGGCAGCTGTGTGTAGCAGTTCCATGACTGTTCAGGAGCCTGTTAATGTCCTCAGCTGTAACGTTCTTTAAGTAAGTAAATAAATAAATAAATATGGGACTCAGGCCTTCCCAGTGCCAGTCTGTCAGTGGCTCCTCTCCATTCCCTAGGGAACGTGCTGTCTAGTCTGCGTTCCACTCTCTGACATAAAGAAAAGGAGGGCTTGTGGCACCTTAGAGACTAACAAATTTATTAGAGCATAAGCTTTCGTGAGCTACAGCTCACTTCATCGGATGCATGCAGTGGAAAATACAGCGAGGAGATTTTACATACACAGAGAACGTGAAACAATGGTTGTTACATTACACACTGTAACGAGTGATGAGGTAAGGTGAGCTACTACCAGCAGGAGAGCGGGGGGGAACCTCTTGTAGTGATAATCAAGGTGGACCATTTCCAGCAGTTGACAGGAATGCGGGGGGGGAGGGATACACGGGGAAATAGTTTTACTTTGTGTAATGACACATCACTCCCAGTCTTTATTCAAGCCTAAGTTAATTGTATCCAGTTTGCAAAGTAATTCCAATTCAGCAGTCCCTCGCTGGAGTCTGTTTTTGAAGTTTTTTTGGTTGAAGAATTGCCACTTTTAGGTCTGTCAGAGAACACTTCAATCTCTCTGGTCACTCGATTACAGACCCAAAAGTGGCAATTCTTCAACAAAAAAACTTCAAAAACAGACTCCAACGAGGGATGGCTGAACTGGAATTAATTTGCAAACTGGATACAATTAACTTAGGCTTGAATAAAGACTGGGAGTGGATGGGTCATTACACAAAGTAAAACTATTTCCCCATGTTATTCCCCCCCACACACACTGTTCCTCACACGTTCTTGTCAACTGCTAGAAATGGCCCACCTTGATTATCACTACAAAAGGTTCCTCCTCTCTTCCCCCGCCCCCGCTCTCCTGCCCGTAATAGCTCACCTTACCTGATCACTCTTTTTTCAGTGTGTATGGTAACACCCATTGTTTCATGTTCTCTGTGTATATAAAATCTCCCCACTGTATTTTCCACTGCATGCATCCGATGAAGTGGGCTGTAGCCCACGAAAGCTTATGCTCAGATAAATGTATTAGTCTCTACGGTGCCACAAGTACTCCTGTTCTTTTTGCGGATACAGACTAACACGGCTGCTACTCTGAAACTCTCTGACATGACACCCTAATCTACAATTTCTGTAACCTGTAAACACCGGAGTGTTTGTGTGAGGCTTCATCAATGTCTTAGCGTGTTTTGACACCTGTAGGTGAAATGGTGCTTTAGAAGGGGAGAGTTTTCATGTTATCACTGCTGTAAAAGACACTTCACAGCAAAGACATTACTCCAGCCCCTGAGGCGCCTTGGGAAATGCTCTAAGAACATTTTATAACAAGGAGTAAAGGGGAAAGCTTTCATGGCCTTGCGCATCACATGCCCATACCAGCTCATTCCATCAAGCACAGGGTAGTCAGCATCATACTTGCAACAGGGAAGAAAGGAAAAGAAAAAAGATTGTAGCAAAGCAGCAGCATGATCTTCAAACCAGGAGCAAAGTCAGATTCAGATCCCCCAGCAGGGACCTGAAAGAAGATAATCAGCAGAGTGGGGACATTAACCAGCTGTACCACACAACTGTAAAAGGTAGCAGATAAAGGCAGTAAATCACCATACGTTGAGGGAGGTATGTGTGCCTGTCTGCTCATTCACTCAATTTACATAAAGCCACTGGAAACAGACAAAGCTGTAAAGTGCGTGCTCAGAGCTATGCAATCAGACTGAGTGGCTTGTAAAGCACTAAAGGTTGATTTACTTGGCCCACAGTACTACTTATGTAAAACGCTCAATAAACTTCAGGTTGATAAGGAGTTCTCAAAAACCCATCACCAAACTACTCTAAAACTGAGCAGATAGGAGCCCTTTGAGGCAAACATCAAGGAGAGTTCAGATTGTCCTCAGAGCACCATATTGGTGCCACAGTGTAAACAGACCCACTTACACCAATCTAAAGACAAAGGGGTCTGCTTTGCCATGGATGCCCAGGATCTTATAGGGGTAATTGATCACTAATGGGAATCAGACAGCTAAATCCCCTGCGCAGCAAATAGCAAACGGCCAGGCCACAAGCAAAATTTTACCTGGTGTCCCTTCATATATTTGAAAGATGAATAACAAATAGGGATTGTGCCTCCTTTTCTTCTTGATGAAGTATTAAAAAAAGACCACACAAACAGAAGTGTCCCTCGCTGTTTGGGGTTTTTTTTTGGTTTGTTTGTTGTTTTAACTTTAAATGTATCAGGAATGTCAGGCCTTAACCGAAGTCCATGTTCTCCCACTCCCCACAAAAAATTAGAAATAATTTGTGAATGAAACCTTACCATGTAACAGTCCACCCAACATTAATGATGCCCTTTTTTTCTCTTAAAATAACCAATGAAGTATTTGCATAGTAAAAAAGACACACACACACACAGAGACCCCCAGCAGACACATGAACGCACACACACAATGCAGCTTGTAGGTGCTCACTCTTCTCTGCAGCTGGAACGGTGTATATTCTCAAACATCCATGTGCTCCCCATCACCAGGGTGAGCCACACAGCTATACTGCTCCCTCCCTCCTCCTCTCCCAAGGCAGCAATACCTCCTCGCTTGTTTTTGCAGCTACTTGTAAGGAATATTGGCCTGGGGTCCAAGCAATGCATCAGCTGGGCAGCAGTGGAAATCTCTCCACAGTTTAGATGCACACAACCGTCCCATTTGAAAATCTGATGTCTGTGTAAGATCAAGATTTTGTGCCCTGAAATATCCAGGTACAGATTTGCGCACACATGTTTCTAATAATGTAGCCTAAAATGCAGCTCTTGAGGTACTTGTGCTGTATATTTTGCTCTCAGGCATGGCAGGCAGAGAAATGACTGTGTTTCATTTGCAGATTTTGGGAGGAAGCATAGCAAAACTCAGACTAGGCAATTCTCCCTTTGCTTTGTCTGGATACAAGTCATATCGCCTTCTGCACAGATCCTCTACCAGTCAACTTTGTGAGCCTTGTTTACACTTTTAAAAAATGGGGGGGGGGGGGCTTGCAGCTGTGGAATGTTAACAATTAGCACACTGCCACCCCAGTCCCTTCATATGTTCCAGTGATCCATGCCTTGCTAAGCATTGGTTCTTGCTTTGCCCCAGCCTGCCAGTTGTCCAGCTGCGTGTGCTGGACATACAGCACTGCTGGAGCCTTGAGCAACGTTTTTTTTCTTTTTTAAACTCAGCCAGGAATGGCAGGACCACCAAGGAGGACCTGGCAGGGGTTGAAGAACCCTCTCCAAAAGACAGCCTAAGGCTACCCTGAATGACTTGGTTTCTAATTTAAACAGGCTCAGGCCTACCCAGACTGGCCTTCTACTTGTGGTAGCAGAGGGATGGGACTAGAGCGGGTGAAGTAGTCATTTGTGCAAAAAAGCAGTTTTTACTCATTACGGAAGCAACCAGCCAAACATTTGCTTTTCGGTAAAACAAAATTCAGGGAAGTGTGACTGGAATCCTGGAAGCTGAAGCAGAGATAGGGAGACACAGAGTTCCATGGCGTGCAGAGATTTTATATTTAGAAAAGAGGGATGGTCTTGTGACTCAAACAGTGAGCTGAGAGCCCAGGTCTCCAGCTCTATATTTGACTTCTTCTGTGATCCAGAGTGAGAACCCTACCTCATGTGTCAGAATGCATTACTGTTTGCACAGTGCTTTGAGATCCTCAGATGGGAAATGCTATAGAAATGCAAACTATTATTATTAAAAACAGGCAAGCTGAGGAAAATTAGGATCTCAGAGATAAGAGGGCTTCTAAAAATAACAGTTCTGCAGGGGGGAAAAAAGCCAGATGTGTGTGACACAGAAAATCTCCTTGCGCATGCATGAGGTCACAGTGCCATTTAGCTTTAGCCAGCCACTCCTGGCATCCTAGGTAGAAGCTGAGGGCCTAGGCAGCCACCTAGTTTGCCTATAGCTTGAGCAGTCGCTGGCCCTTCCATTTCTCTCCTATGGGTTCACCACTTCTGAGCCAAACCACAATACATGAATGGCTCCCA